AAAAAGTTAAATGCAAAATGAGATTAACCAGAGATCTGTTACATGAAATCATTAGGACAAAGGCTGAAAATGAGAAAATTCTCACCCCATCGTTGTCTAAAAGAACCATGATATTTTCTTCTTTTCTCACATGTGAATCATGGCTTAGTGACCAGGTCTCCAGCAAAGTAACCAAGCCAAAGCTGCTTTGGATGCAGTAACACTGTCTAATCGCAGGCGATATCTCCATGAGAAAAACAGCAAGTCGAAATATAAGTTACGTTTTCTACTCAAAATGAGCACTTTTTATTTCACAAAAGTTCCACCAGAGGAGCAAATGTATGCAGATATCAAGTCACTCAACAAGTTCGAAGAAAAGGCATTTTGTCAACTCCTGGACGTTGTATTTTCGTTTCTCGTTTCGCCAAAGGAAGGGACTAGATTCATGTCTCAGGTTGCGGAGTTTGCGTCCGAACATGGAATAAGCTCTAACCCACTCAAAAATGTTGTCAAAAGTTTACTCAGCTTCTTCAAGAGTGCGCTGAAATGCAACTTGACCCCCGCACAAGTGAAGGAGGACGTGGAACATCTTGGTAAGGACTAAACAACCTTCCTTCCCCTTCCCCCCTTATCTCATATCTTGTGCCCCTGGTAGAGCCACTGAAAGGTAGCTGAGACGCTAAGTGCCAAACATTTCTTGGGAAAATGAGGTTTATTTGGGTGTGAATGAAAGTCATTTTCAAATCAATAGTTTCGCACTTAGCCTCACTTTGAAACAGAGGCTTGAGGCAATTTGGAAATAGCCTATTCCAACTATTTGCCATCAACTTTTGGCATTATAGGAAGTCTTTTCTAGGAAAATAAAGTAGATATAAAGGCAGGTAGGACCTACTTCTTTGATTAAATTTTTTCAAACCATGTTCTGGCTCCAGAGATTGAACATGTGAGCAGACCCTTGCTGCAGTAAAAGAGCAGTCTAACCCACCCCAACCTTTTTTCCTCTTTTGTGTTTAAAAGGTCTTTCTGCTGATAACTCCCCCCATGTGTCTGAAAGATGGAAAACAAACCTTATTGCCCTCTCAAGATCAGTTGTTGGTCAGACATTCATGGTCAATCAACTTGTTGACATGGAATGGAAATTTGGTGTAACAGCAGGAAGTAGTGACTTGAAAGTCGTGGGACAGACATTTTTGCAGCTAAAAATGGTTGTTGATCGAGGTGGTGTCCAGGAAGACGTGTTCATGGAATTGACCCTGCCACAGTTTTACTCATTTCTTCATGAGATGGAAAGAGCAAAGTCCACACTCGAATTTTTCAGTTGAGATAGGTAGGTAGGTATTTGTTTGGTCGACTCTTGTAAAGACAGACACTTTTGAAATCTTAAATACCAGTATATGTCACCATGTGTCCATTTTAGATAGGGAGTCTATCATATTAGTGATTAATAATAATTAGAGTTTACTTGTGTGTGTATTCTGCCCACAGGCAGGTCCTTCCTTATAGTTCTCTATCTAAGGCGTGCCTCTTGACTGCTACATCAGGGCTACCATTCTTTATGTATAAGAGAAAAGAGTTAATGTATAAAAGGAAAAAAACCTAAGAATGAAAGGGATGAACTCTGCACAGCTCCTCTAATGGGGCCTCTACAGGCTGTGCCAGGATCAACTAACCACAAAAAAATAACAGTCTTAAAATAATGTGACCCAACACTGCATGGAATTTATTACTCACTACTTTTAATGTGCTTTTTATATACATTCAAGCAGTTCATGTTTTATCAAGTCTAAAATGCCAAGAGGTTTAAGGCTTGATTAAAAAGAACCATTAGAAATAAATCAGAAAGGTGTTCTATATGCACACATCGTTCATGCTTTCATAAAATAAATTATTTTAAAACATTAATGGGCACACTAGTAAATGTATGATAAATGCAGGTGTTAAAAGTCTTGTTGACAAATTAAAGAGCCTGAATTTGTTCGATGGCCACACCTATGAGAAAAATTAATCAAAAAATAACAAAGCATTGGTAAGCCATATATTTCAACAGAGTTGTATGCTTAAATCCCTCATTTCAATGAGCGGCTCCTGCTTTTCACTTGAAATATGATGTTAAATCTCGTAAGTATATACATCATAGGGAGAGACCCAAGTGTACCAACTGTATAATTTTTGGGTGTTATACATTCCCAAGGAAACATCCATACAACGGCAGTATTTTTACCATATTTTCAAACTCCCACAGTGAGAAAAATATCCTCGAACACTGCCAATTTGATGTTAGTTATTAGTTTCAATAATTCCCATTTCTTTCAGTCAATGCTCTTCAACTGGTATCATCTAAATACAGTTTATTATCCTTGCATTCCCAAGCTTTCTGTTCTTCCTTATGCAAATTAGCTCTTTTTCTCCTCTCCTGAGGTGGTAATGATTTTATCTCCGTCCTCATCGTATCCAGCACTACTTTCCGCTCTTGTCCATGTCTTGCACTCAGTTTTATGTACTGTCTGTTCATATTACTGTAGAATTCTGCCAGTAAAACTCTCATCTCTTGGATCAGCTCCTCCTTTCTGGTTAGCAAAGTAACCAAGCCAAAGCTGCTTTGGATGCAGTAACACTGTCTAATCGCAGGCGATATCTCCATGAGAAAAACAGCAAGTCGAAATATAAGTTACGTTTTCTACTCAAAATGAGCACTTTTTATTTCTCAAAAGTTCCACCAGAGGAGCAAATGTATGCAGATATCAAGTCACTCAACAAGTTCGAAGAAAAGGCATTTTGTCAACTCCTGGACATTGTATTTTCGTTTCTCGTTTCGCCAAAGGAAGGGACTAGATTCATGTCTCAGGTTGCGGAGTTTGCGTCCGAACATGGAATAAGCTCTAACCCACTCAAAAATGTTGTGAAAAGTTTACTCAGCTTCTTCAAGAGTGCGCTGAAATGTAACTTAACCCCCGCACAAGTGAAAGAGGACGTGGAACATCTTGGTAAGGACTAAACAATCTTCCTTCCCCCTCCCCCCTTATCTCATATCTTGTGCCCCTGGTAGAGCCACTGAAAGGTGGCTGAGACGCTAAGTGCCAAACATTTCTTGTGAAAATGAGTTTTATTTGGGTGTGAATGAAAGTCATTTTCAAATCAATAGTTTCACACTTGGCCTCACTTTAAAACAGAGGCTTGAGGCAATTTGGAAATAGCCTATTCCAACTATTTGCCATCAACTTTTGGCATTATAGGAAATCTTTTCCAGGAAAATAAAGTAGATATAAAGCCAGGTAGGACCTACGTCGTTGATTAAATTTTTTCAGTCCATGGTCTGGCTCCAGAAGTTGAACGTGTGAGCAGAACCTTGCTGCAGTAGAAGAGCAGTCTAACCCACCCCAACCTTTTTTCCTTTTTTGTGTTTAAAAGGTCTTTCTGCTGACAACTCCCCCCATGTCTCTGAAAGATGGAAATCAAACCTTATCGCCCTCTCAAGATCAATTGTTGGTCAGACATTCATGGTCAATCAACTTGTTGACATGGAATGGAAATTTGGTGTAACAGCAGGAAGTAGCGACTTGAAAGTCGTGGGACAGACATTTTTGCAGCTAAAAATGGTTGTTGATCGAGGTGGTGTCCAGGAAGATGTGTTCATGGAATTAACCCTGCCACAGTTTTACTCATTTCTTCATGAGATGGAAAGAGCAAAGTCCACACTTGAATTTTTCAGTTGAGATAGGTAGGTAGGTATTTGTTTGGTCGACTCTCATAAAGACCTGTAGACACTCTTGAAATCTTAGATACCAGTATATGGCACCCTGTGTCCATTTTAGATAGGGAGTCTATCGTATTAGTGATTAATAATTAGAGTTTATGTGTGTGTGTATTCTGCCCACAGGCATGTCCTTCCTTATAGTTTTCTATCTAAGGCGTGCCTCTTGACTGCTACATAAGGGCAGCCATTCTTTATGTATAAAAGGAAAAAAGCCTAAGAATGAAAGGGATGAACTCTGCACAGCTCCTCTAATGGGGCCTCTACAGGCTGTGCCAGGATCAACTAACCACAAAAAATCAACAATCTTAAAATAATGTGACCCAACACTGCATGGAATTTATTACTCACTACTTTTAATGTGCTTTTTATATACATTCAAGTAGTTCATGTTTTATCAAGTCTAAAATGCCAAGAGATTTAAGGCTTGATTAAAAAGAACCATTAGAAATAAATCAGAAAGGTGTTCTATATGCACACATCGTTCATGCTTTCATAAAATAAATTATTTTAAAACATTAATGGGCACACTAATAAATGTATGATAAATGCAGGTGTTAAAAGTCTTGTTGACAAATCAAAGAGCCTGAACTTGTTCGATCGCCACACCTATGAGAAAAATTAATCAAAAAATAACAAAGCATTGGTAAGCCATATATTTCAACAGAATTGTATGCTTAAATCCCTCATTTCAATGAGCGGCTCCTGCTTTTCACTTGAAATATGATGTTAAATCTCCTAAGTATATACATCATAGGGAGTGAACCAAGTGTACCAATTGTATAATTTTGGGGTATTATACATTCCCAAGGAAACATCCATACAACGGCAGTATTTTTACTATATTTTCTAACTCCCACAGTGAGAAAAATATCCTCATACACTGCCAATTTGATGTCAGTTATTAGTTTCAATAATTCTCATTTCTTTCTTTCAATGCTCTTCAACTGGTATCATCTAAATACAGTTTATTATCCTTGCATTCCCAAGTTTTCTGTTCTTCCTTATGCAAATTAGCTCGTTTTCTCCTCTCCTGAGGTGGTAATGATTTTATCTCCTTCATCATTGTATCCAGCACTACTTTCCGCTCTTGTCCATGTCTTGCACTCAGTTTTATGTACTGTCTGTTCATATTACTGTAGAATTCTGCCAGTAAAACTCTCATCTCTTGGATCAGCTCCTCCTTTCTGGTTAGCATTAAACTAATTTCTTTATCGTCTACTTCTCAATTGTAAAAAGAAATATTAGTTAGCAGTTTATTCAAGTAATCTGTACATATTAACACAAACATTTGACACTCATTTTAACAGTTTGCAACTGCATTTTTCCTGAATTTACACCTGCCAAGCTAGATGGCAGATAAACTTTTTTTCCTAGAGTGAATGATTTTGTCTGCCAAGGGAGGATTAACTTTTGAGTCTGTAGATGAAATCCTGTGGTGTTACCATTCAAAAGAAACCTCGTTAGCAGTACTTTCACATGCCCCGTTTTTTTCTCAGCACTTTAAAAAATGAAATTTGGCAGTTTTATTGAATTTTGACTTTAACCACTTCTGACCTTAATTACACACTACTTGCCCCTATCAGGGTTCGTAACTTAGTCAGTAAAACAACGGTAGATATAATCCACCGAAGTCATGGTTTGTTTGAATCCCACCAAGGTCAAAATATTTTCTTCACCTCATGTTAGCCTGTGTAGGAGGCACTTGGAAGTAGTTGGTTTTATGGGCTATTTGTAGCACTTCCATTTTCACTCTGGAGGTAACTCTTTGTTTACTCAGTTGTCAAGTAACATGGCTACCCAAATACTAATCAAATTATAAGTGTATTACAACAAAATGAAGTAATTTCTATGACAGACACATAATGCCAATGAATGTTTTCACTGTTAAAAGCACAAACATTAACTGTTGATAAGTTACCTCTGTTCATTCTTCTTCTACAGAGCTCATAAACCACTCCACATAAAAGAGCAGCAGTCAATATGACTGATAAAACAATCACATTCACCTTGTAGATATCATCTGAACTATCAAAGAGCCCTGTTGCTTCTTGCTCGGCTCTAGAGGCTGTTGAAGGCTAAAGTAGATCACATAGAGCCATTAAAGTCGTCTGTCAAATTTCCATGTACAGTGTAATATACCAAAATTTAGTATTGAGTAAAATTTCAGGTTTCTAGGCTCTATTTCCACTGCTCCTTTGGGCCCGCTCTCGTTCCCCCGAGGGAAGGGAGAAGTGTGGGCTCATTTCCCAAACCACAGCTAGTAAACAAACCTATAGGTTATTCCCGAGTTGACCCAAGCCTCAGTTTGAAAGTATGAAGCCACTGGTATGAAAATTATTCTTTATTCTCATGCAAACCCATTATAACAAGGAAGTTTTTTCACTTAGTTTTGAAAGTGAGGGGTTTTGGAACTCACAAATGGCCCAATTAGGTTTTCCAGATACAAGAACACTGATGAACTAACTACCAGACAACAGGTTACGTGCTTTTTATGCCAGTTTGCTTATGTTAGTTATCGCATTCTATTGCTTTCCAAGTTTGAACTTCTTCCTACCTGTAATGTTTCTGTATAATTGTCAATGAGACTTGTTAAAAAAGATCTTTCCTGCTTAAGATAATCCAGAAAACAGTGTTGCAGCCTTACAGAATTACCTCCCAGGACAATGCCAAAAGAAGATTGGTAGTCTATAAGCTGAAAAAAAATGAGAACAGTTACGACTTAAGCATCTGGAGTGCCTTGTAAAGAGTGCATCTAACAGGAAAAAGTGATGGGGTGAACTACATAATGAGGCACAAAATAGATGAAGTCTTGAATCTCTGTAAGTGACCAATATGTAGTCTGCAAGCAGGCTCACTTGTGCAAGTTTGTGGAAAATTTTGGCAGCAGAGCTGGGCCGTCTACTTTTCCTTGCTGAATGGCGGCTCCGCCGTCAAAATAATTTTCCCCGAATTCAGACAAGTGAGCCTGGTCACAGGTTAACCAATACGCCAAGATTCAGTGGCTGCTTTTGGGAGGTGAGGTGACCACTAATTGGTTTAGTTGAGCCACAGGGGTTTCTGCCGAAAAAAGGTCTGACACATTGACTTGTTAGAGGAAGATTTCTGGTATGCAAGTTCTAAATTACAATCCAAGCAGTACCATGGTATCAGGTATGTGCTTGCAAGAGGTTCAGAACAATGGCTAAGTTAAAACGGTTAGCCCAGAAAATGGTCTTGGACGCTTACAAGAGGTAATCGTTAAAGAGAGTTTCCAAACACAAGACTTTCATTTTGCGTCAAAATTTTCTTATATCTGATTTAAAAATTTTTATTTTACAACTCCGTTGACATTCCATTTTGGCCGTAACAAGAGCTCTTCAGTATGACTAGTACTTGAGGACCATGTGGAGTCAAGAAATGGGCTAAGTTGAAGTTTATGTGAAATTAAATTTAGGCTAGGATAAATATGGCGTGGTATAAAAGTTTGGTGCATTCATTGTTTACCTTATGAACTGCTAATGATTCATGGTCAAAAATATCTTTTCTTGCTGCTGCTACATATGTGTCAAGTAAGGCGCCTTTCACCACCCCTGACAGTAAATCGTCCCTTATATCTTCAAGTTGCGTGTAGTTGCGGACTGAAAATGAGAAAAATAAATTTAGATATATAACTCTTGTGCGCGAGGTGTAAGAGTTGTTATGTACTGGTTAAAAATGAGCAGGAGTGTATTAGCAGGTTAACTCGAGGGGAAGCCCGAGTTTTTTAACCTGATAATACATGACTGGGAGTTTTTTTAACAGCTTTAAAATCTCTGATATAGATGAATTCATTCTTGCACCAATATTTAGATTTGGGGTTATTTTGGTGTAAAAAATTGGACGTAAAGTTTAGCAGTGTCTTTATCAGATGTAAAGACACTAATTCAACATTAACTTCTTCAATCTGTTTTTTATCTTTCTTTATGAATTATTAATGAGTTTTGAACCATGTTCAAGAAATTCTCTCTCGATTATGTTGACTCTTAAGTTTTATAGTAGTGGTATTGACGTCTTCAAGCGTTTTACCTTTGTTTACTTGTGCGTTTCTCCTTACAGCCAGGTGATACTCGGGAGAATCGTCGAGAGCAGCCACCTGAAAAAAAAGCATTGCCTGTTATTGACAATAACTGACGTTTTGACAACCTGTGCGGTTATGCCATTTTATGCATTGAAGCTCGCTTCGCTCACTTTTAAGAACTTGTGAGAGGTCGACTTTGTAGCAAGTCTATGCCGTAGTTATCAAAGTGAGTTGTGCTTCGTCAGTATCTTACAAAACCAGTCTTTCTGGACTTGTTATCCGAACAAACATAATTTCAGTCATTAGGCCCATTTCTAGGCGTAATAATGGAAACTTTATTTGTGTTTTTGAATGTACAATTGTAAATCTCGCTACGTATAAGCCCTATACAAATGCTGCTTGAGATTGGATTATTAAAAAGGAAAAAAAAACAAAAACAAAAACAAAACAAAAGCCAAAAAAAGAAAAAAAAAGAAATCAAAATTGCATTAAGTCTGGGCTATCCCAGTTCCTATTTCTACAACAAAAGATGTAATATGTTGCTCTAATGGCTATATTTATCATTTTCTTGATTATATAAAGTTGCTGCTTTTTGTCAATGCCAATGTCATTCATCATGTCTAAGAACGTGGAGCATTCATCGGAGAAAACGCCAAGGGAACTCATGGACAGATTTACAAATCTCACACATCTGTAATTTCTACTCATTTCGTTGATCAAGTTCAGATATTTTTCTTTCTTACGTACTCCACTGTTGTTAAGGTTAGACACGAATAATAATAATAATAATAATAATAATAATAACAACAATAATCGAATATTTATCTAGGATAACCCTTCAGTACCAAGTACTGTTATGAACTGGGTCCTGCTGACTAAAAAATCAAAAATCTAATCAATAAGAATTTTAAAAAATGTCAAAAGAAAACATGCACTAGGTTAATTACAACTAATAACAAGTACTTAAGGGTAAAAAAACGTGAAAAGTTACTAGAAGTTCCGATCAGTATTCCCTACCTCCATACCATACAACTTGAAGTTATCTTGAACAGTAAGCACTGTTAGTCCAGTGCTAAGATAACTAGTCAGCAGATTAAACAGCACAGCCCCAGTCAGCATCCACATCATGGCTAGCCCCTTGGCTAAGAACGAACGAGGAGTACGGTCTCCATATCTACATAATACACAAATACAGAATACAACCGGAACTTTAACGTTTCATGATATGTATACTATCAACTTAACCCTAGAGACACGATAGCTTGTAGACTTGATACATCTCTATGCAAATGATAGACAAATGAATGAAGTGGTTAGTGTAACTAGGCATTGTAGTACTGCGTCTGCAAAGGGCAGAAATACAGACATTTAGTTTTAATGACTCAAAGTTCATTCGCGCACGTTATTTTTGTTACTCTCGGGAGTCTAAAAGTGCGGTATTCAGTGGTATCAGTGTCATGATACAGCGTCTTGAGATTAACTAGCATGCCATTCGGGCAGGGAGCTTGAACACTGCATCAAGCGGTCCATTTGATTATCATCGTCATCATCATTTTTTGTTTAGTTATTATTATTATTATTATTATTATTATTATTATTTTCGTTTTCCTTAGTTTTGCAAGGGAACTTGTTGCTGTACGCTTCCAAAGTTTCAAATGTTATTAACTGCTTTCTCGAACGACACTTTGAATAATGGTTCAAGAAGACACCAAACCTTGTAGTAATGTGGACCATTTTCACTTGGATTTATTCAGCAAGTTAAGAACCTTGTCTTACCCTACTGTTGCGGCAGTGATGAACCCCCACCACATTGCTTCCCAGAATCCTTTTAGAAACGTAGGCGGGATCTCCTCGGGGTTTTCTGCACAGTCCTTAATTAACAAATGAATAAACATTTTGTAATTAATTTCTCAATAATAACAATAATTCCGTTATTTACCCACGGCAGTATTTATAGCACTAATGCTAGTGGGGCCGAGCAAACGCCTGAAATAAATAATTCAAATCGAATTTAACCAGGACGTAACATGTTGATAATTTCGATAGTCGATAAAAATCGATCGTTGTCGATAAAAGTCGATACTAATTAATCGACAAATATCGGAAATCGATAAAAGTCGATCCCAAAATTTCTTGTGATTATCGATTTTGATCGACTTTTGGTGTTAGAGTTCGATTTCAATCGACTTTTATCGAAAAGAATCGAAAGATAAAAAACGATCATATGTAGAGCTATGTATGTTTCAATGTTTTATTTTGCACTGTAACTAGAGCTGAGTAGAGAGCTAAAACAAAGCGAATTTATTATTTTTAGTAGCCTCTGTTATCTTCCCAGTAAAAACTNTTATTATTATTATTATTATTATTATTATTATTTTCGTTTTCCTTAGTTTTGCAAGGGAACTTGTTGCTGTACGCTTCCAAAGTTTCAAATGTTATTAACTGCTTTCTCGAACGACACTTTGAATAATGGTTCAAGAAGACACCAAACCTTGTAGTAATGTGGACCATTTTCACTTGGATTTATTCAGCAAGTTAAGAACCTTGTCTTACCCTACTGTTGCGGCAGTGATGAACCCCCACCACATTGCTTCCCAGAATCCTTTTAGAAACGTAGGCGGGATCTCCTCGGGGTTTTCTGCACAGTCCTTAATTAACAAATGAATAAACATTTTGTAATTAATTTCTCAATAATAACAATAATTCCGTTATTTACCCACGGCAGTATTTATAGCACTAATGCTAGTGGGGCCGAGCAAACGCCTGAAATAAATAATTCAAATCGAATTTAACCAGGACGTAACATGTTGATAATTTCGATAGTCGATAAAAATCGATCGTTGTCGATAAAAGTCGATACTAATTAATCGACAAATATCGGAAATCGATAAAAGTCGATCCCAAAATTTCTTGTGATTATCGATTTTGATCGACTTTTGGTGTTAGAGTTCGATTTCAATCGACTTTTATCGAAAAGAATCGAAAGATAAAAAACGATCATATGTAGAGCTATGTATGTTTCAATGTTTTATTTTGCACTGTAACTAGAGCTGAGTAGAGAGCTAAAACAAAGCGAATTTATTATTTTTAGTAGCCTCTGTTATCTTCCCAGTAAAAACTCCAATATGAAACAACTCACCGCACCTCATCACCTAAATTATTTAGATGTACTCCATTTGCTCCTCGTCATCCAAAGGGGAAAAGCAAAGCAGGGCCTGTACAAGCCTGGACAATACAGAAGAGGATCCAGCGAACAACAATAACCGGCAATAATTGAATAAAAGTTAACTACATCTGAGTACTTTGTCTGCATTTGTTCTTTATTTATCGTAGCATTTTCCCGCTATCTCAGGGCCCTTATAAGGTGTGTACCGGTGCTGACTAAAACAATCGCGGCGCAAGACCGGAAAAAATAAGCGACAGAAGCGATATTGAACGCGAGTGGTGCAAACGAAGGCGCATTTCTTCAGATTTCTTGAGGTAAACATTCGGTTGCGGATTGAAGAAGATAACATATGTTTTTTTCAGGTTTTAATGCAACTTTATTCAGCTTTATTGCCATTATCAGCGCCGTACAACTTTTTACACTCACGATGCTTATACAAAGTATCTTCGTTCACTTGACATGTTGAAGTCGATACAAATCGATAGCCAGCCCTGAGAACTTTGTGATTATCGACTTTTATCGACAAGTTAAACTAATCAATCGACAATTATCGAGCGCTATCGACTTATCGACTAGCTTTCCGATGATCGATTTCAATCAACATGTTACGTCCTGATTTAACAGGGCTATTTACGAGCGTGGATTTGAGCTCGGGACTACCGTAAAGTACTAGCGGTCAGGGCGGGACCTGAGCGTTGCGTGACGACACTAAAAACGGCTTTGTAGCAGACTAGGCGGGACTTGAACTCGGGGTCTCTGAATTGCAAATCTATAAGCGTGCTTTAACCACTCGGTCACGCTGCCTCCCTGTTACTTAATAAAAGAGTGAAAGAGATAAAATACTTCCCTGTCATTGGTCGCCCAAGGCTTTCTTTCTTTCGCAGCTGCTTTTCGCAATATTGTGAGTGTTTGGTTAGGCCTGTCCTATTACATTTTTGTTTCAATACTTTTTCTACTTTTATACACACAAGTTTGTTCGTTAGCAGCAAAGGGCACTTAAATACTACTGTTTTCTATTCTGTTTGAATTGTTTATGTGGTAGAAAACATTTCTTACATTCAAATGAGAGGCCATAAATTCATTTTCAACCCAGAGTAGCAAGTCTACGTGAAGTTTTGTATGAATCGATTGAGCGGACACTGGAATTGCATAAAGTCTTTTAGTACTTCAACAAGAAATTGTCTCAACTAAGTTCTTTACGGAAATGTATGGAGATCACTCTGGAGAATTTGTATTTGGAGATTGGGACTTAAAGGGTTGAATCGTAAAAAAAACCTAAAGCTTACCATCATCCAATACAAGAATCCGAACAACAAAAGAAATACTAAAATGACTATGGCAAGAGGCCAGCTTGTAAACAGTGCGTTGGTAATAGGGGCCTTCAAACGATCATGTTTGACAATGAAAGCTGCACCAGGGGTCTCCACCACGGGGACATACTTGTAACTTCCTAAATACGTCCGCTGGTCAGTGTAACCGTGGACAGGAAAAGTTAGATCATTACGGTGATCTATGGCCTCATTTAAATCTTGCTTTGTGTCCTTTCTCGCTGAATTATTTCGCCCGTCCAGGTTGTAATCTATCACGGATTTTCCGTGACCATTGTAACAGTCACCACAGCACTGAGGTACCATCTTGTCAAGAACATCCATGAAAATGCCGCTAATGTTCTGATTCGTGGATGAGCTGATGACGTAAGGCGGATTTAACCAGTAATTTGTGCTTAGTCGTTTTTCACAGTGGCACGTCTCTGAAACAAAATTGTGTAATTTGGAGAAGGATCAGCGCTTAATTGCATAGTACAATTAGTCCATTTAATTTGAGGCGTTAGTTCTCTGTAAATCAATCTCTACGGGGTGAGCTTTCAAACTCCTTATCAGCAATTCTTTCAATACCACTCATTGGTCTTTTATTTATTTATATATATATCTATTTTTTTTTTTTTTTTTTTTGGGGGGGGGGCCCGTTTTTCTTTGCCCAAAACACTTCACCATTTTTTTATGGCCGTTTTCTGATTTTCGGTTTACCCCCCGCAATTCTCCTCCTTTTTTTTTGTTTTTTTTTTTTTTTAGAGATCTTTTTCTCTTTGCCCATTGTTTTTTTTAGGGTGGGCTTGTTTAAAAAAAAATTGTGGTTTTTGGAGAAGAAAAAGAGCTTTTTTTTGTATAAAAAATTTAGTTTTTTTTTTTGGGGGTTTTTTTTTTTTAAAAAATTTTTTCGGGGGGGTGTTTTTAAAACCTTTTTACCAAAATTTTTTAAAACCCCTTTTTTTTTTTTTTTTTTTTTTTTTTTTTTTTTTTTTTTTTTTTTTTTTTTTTTGGGGGGGGGACCGCGTTGACTTTGACCAAAAGACTTCACCATGTTTTTAACGACATTTTCCGACTTGCAGTTAACCCTGCAGAATTCCAGCCCTTATATTGTGTTTATTTTGATTTCTAGACGTCTGTTTACCTTGCACCATCTGCTTACTATACACTCCTTCCCCTCGTTTTGTAACTCCTGCTATCCTGATGTCATAAGCTGTAAAACTCTGTACATCATCCAGTGTAACTGAATATGTGTCAGCGTCAACAATTTTCTCCCTTACGGGCTCATCTTCAACACTCTTTCCGCCAACCATGACTGCTTGGTATTTGACCAGGTAGGCTACATGGACGTTATTGTAAATACCTTATTTTAGTTTTATTGCATGATAACTGTTGATCTCTGTGTTATCTCATCTTATCGCTAGGATGTATTTAACCCCTTCCTCTTTCGATAGGCAGCGGCAGCTCCTAAAATTATCCTAAAATTACCTAATTTCCTAAAATTATCCATTTGCCCCTGGAACGATTATTGAGACGATTTGAACCTCTTGTCTTTTCGAGTTTGTGAAATCCTTTGGAGTTATACGATTTGTTGTTGAATTTTCCTTCCAGCGCTCCTATCTATCTAGTATCAAAAGAAGTATTAAAACTTTTCACACGCTTAAAAGATGACTTAAAGAGGGTAAATTTACTGCATTGATTTAAACCTTTATAGAAATGGTTTTGAGTTTGCAGTGGCGGTTACGCTCTAAGTCATATGTATACCTACACGAAATACCTACCCGTTATAATACCATTGGCTTCAGTTTCTGGGATTTTCTTCCACTGGACTGGGAGTTGGTTCGTGCTGGTTGAAGCCATAATGGTTATGTTTGATGGCGGTGCACTGGGAACTAATTTCACACGGTGAGAATCAATGTGATGGTTATTTAAGTTAAGTTTTCCCTTATATCTTTTGAGGTAATTGTTACAGCAAGGAGCATTAAAATGTGACCTCCTTTAATTAACTCACATTCTTTCATGCAGACATTAACGAATCAGAAGTCTAGGATAGTTTTCAGCTGGATTTTGATTGGATTAAATCTGCACGAAAGAATGTGAGTAAATCAAAAGCGGTCACACTTTTGGGGTCCTTGCTGTGAAAGCTTCTCTACATTCCATGACAAATTTTGAGTTTCCTCTATAGCTTTATTTAGTTAAACTTCTTTCAACAAACGTAGGGGTTAATTTTGGTGTTTGGAAACGAAAGCCTTCATCGCGATGATAACACCGATGGGAAAAACACAAATACCTCTACCAATAATAAGCTAGTCCTACCACTGTCGAGAGTTGTCACGTTAATGGAAGGTGACACAGGCCCATCTTTATGTGCTCCAGAAGCCTTAACACGCAGTTGATACGTGGTTTTCGGTCTCAGTCCGGACAAAAAACACGATCTCTTTCCATGTCCCTCTATTGTTACGTGTCGCTCGGCCCCACCGTTTACAGGACGGTACATAACAGTGTAGTCATTTTGATGGACCTCGGCCTCGTCGTTCTCTGGAAGCGACCATCTCAGCGATATTGCATCTGATAATACTAAGACGGCATGAAGGTTATTGGGAGTTAAGTCTGAAGCTGCGGAAGTAATATAATGCCGTGCGCAAAATTAGCAAGAGACAATCGTGAAACCCTTTTATTTCAAAGTTAAAGTTAAAAAACACTCTAATAATATGAGTTTGAGAAAGTAAAAAGATGTGTTTCTCCGACATGAAAAAGGTTCAAAATTGTGCGACCTACCACTATCATGTTCGGTTGTAAACTCCACCCAGTCAGAAGGCGGGCTGTTTTTACCATCAGAAGTTAAGGCTAATACTTCAACCCAATAGGTTGTTTCTGGCGTCAGCTGGTCTAGCTGTGTCTCAGTGGTTTGCACATCCGGGATGTCCAACTCAGTGGGAATCCCATGACTTGTGTAGGTTAATCTGTACCCCGTGACCAAACCAGCTGCTGCGCATGCTCCGTCGTAAACCCAATCTAAGATTGCACTGGTAGCTGTGATGTCGCGGGTAGTAAGCTGGTTCGGCGCATCACAAGGAGCTAACGATTGATAATTGTAATTATTGATCTTAGTGGTACTAGAGTTTATTACTAGAAACTTTAATTTGTCCTACAGTCATACTGATAGTCCGTGACTACCGGCGTACATTTTAGTTGCCATCTATTTCCAACAAGAGACAAATTTACGCTCCTTTTGTTCTATCAGGAGCCTATCAATAGGGCTCCTGTCCTATGTAATGATATCCGAGTTTCTGGTACATCATTATAATTCGATGGTATTTTTAATCAAGCGTGACATTGACATTATTCTCAGCCATTTTAGCCGGAAGTATTGCCGAAATATGTCACCACTAAAAAGTTTCCTACAGGTAGCTTAGATTTTTCAAATATTTTGAATGAATGTACAGGTATTCCTTGTTAGTACCGGCTTTCATTTTCTAATTATTTGCTTTACAACTCAGAAACGAGGACCACTCATACATACCTGGCTCGGCGTCTGTGGAGATATTTGCCTCTTCTCTAATAATCTGTCCAGTCAACAGTGCTGTCACTTGCACCACATAAACTGTAGAGGGCCTTAATCTGTCAATCAACAGACTGTGGGTCGTCTTTGAAACGTTTCTAACAGCTGTAGAGACCCAGTCTCCCTCCAGGGCCCAGTACCTAACGCTGTATCCATGAATCAGGTCCAGTGAGAGTGGGTTCCAGAACACTTGTATTTTACTGTCAGATACATTGTGGCCCGTGACGTTAAGCTTATAATCTAGTGAACAAAAGTAAAAGACAAAATTGTGGAACTATGGTAGCTTTTGTCATCCTTGACATTTTACAGAGTTTTTTAATTTATGGAATTATTATGCTAAGCGCTGTAAAATGATTGATACGTTATACACACACATTCAGGAAGCTTAGATTTTTCATTTGATCAACTGACAAAAATCGTAAATTTTCACATACCGCTTTTATCTGTGGAAATGTTTGCTTCACCCCTAATGACTTGTCCAGTCAAGAGAGCTGTCACCTGCACTGTATAAACTGTGGAGGGTTTTAATCTGTCAATCAACAAGCTATGCGTCGTGTTTGAAACGTTTCTGATATCTGCAGCGTCCTCGCCGTCTGTCAAGGCCCAGTACTTAACCCTATAACCTTGAATGTCAAGTGGGACTGGATTCCAGTAAACTTGTATTTCACTGCCAGATACATTGTGGCCAGTAACGTTAAGCTTGTATTCCAACGAAACTGAAAAACAGGAATCCCTTTCCTCCGTGGAAATATTTACTTGGCCTCTAACAACCTGTCCACTCCAAAAGGCTGTGACCTGTACTACATAGCTTGTAGAGGGTTTTAAGCTGTCAATCAGTAAACTATGTGTTGTGTTGCACACAATCCGCGCACTCGCAGACTCTTTATTCTCTTTCTCGCCCCAGTACTTCACCATGTAACCTTGAATGCCAAGCGGGACGGGGCTCCAAAACACTTGAAAACTACAGGCACTTACATTATGTCCCGTCACGTTTAGATGGTGCTCTTTAAAAAGAAGGAATAAAGCGGCAATAATGTGAATTTAAATGAAACATTTTCTCGCTTTGCCTGGAGGAATTTTGTTCCTTTAACTGTAGTAATGAAAGGTTATCGAATTGTAAGTAATTTCTTACAATGAACATTTTCTAATTTTAAACAAAGCCATTGGCTCATCTTGGGAAGGGCCTGGGAAACATAAGGTGATGATGATGATGATGACGAGGACGATAATGACGGTGTAGATGATGATGATGATGTTGATAATGATGATGATGATGACGACGATGCGGTGTTATTGACGATGATGATGATGATGATGATGATGATGATGATCAGATGATGATGATGATGATGATGATGATCAGATGATGATGATGATGATGATGATGATGATGATCAGATGAAGATGATGATGATGATGATGATCAGATGATGATGATGATGATGATGATGATGATGATGATCAGATGATGATGATGATGATGATGATGATCAGATGATGATGATGATGATGATGATGATGATGATCAGATGATGATGATGATGATGATGATGATGATCAGATGATGATGATGATGATGATGATGATGATGATGATCAGATGATGATGATGATGATGATCAGATGATGATGATGATGATGATCAGATGATGATGATGATGATGATGATGATGATGATGATGATCACGATCACGAGAATGTGATGGTATGGGTGGGTTCCACAGTCTCTATACAGAGGCAATGTTGGAAATATACTGTTCCTAACGAGTTACCTCTCAGAGTCTGCACAGACACCTCATCACTGCATTCTGTGATAACTCCTTGATACTCTGTAGCCACACAGACTGTGTAATTAGTCAGCGCATTCAGTCCCTCGATAGTGTGTGGACTGTCGCTTACAGTGATGTTCTTTTTCACTCCATTTGCAATCTGTTCCCACTGGACAACGTACTGTAGGCTCATATTCACGGACGCTGTTAATGCTGGGCTCCAACTTACTAACACAGAGGTGGGACTAACTGGCTGGGCTGTTACGTTTTGTGGGTGAGGGAGATCTAGACGAAATCAGTAACACTGCATCAGAGGGGCGCATTTTAGGACTAACTAGCAAACCAACTGCAATAAACGTATAAATTTACCAGTAAATTAAGGTACATGCTAGTTAACTGAAAAACAGAGAACCTCTGTAATCTTTTTGTCCTGTGCTTGTAACCTGCCGACGATCAATACGCCTCTCTTATTCACTACCGCGCTTAAAATTTGCCATCTTTTATTATCTCTGTAAAGTGCACTTTCCACATTGCGGATCCGAACACATGAACCGTGTATATGGCGTGCTCTTCACTAGTCATATCATAGCTCAGTGGATAGAGCACCATCACAGTATTTTGGAGGTTATACGTTCGAATCTTGTCGGGCAATGAATGTATTTTGTTTGTTGCATTTTCCTGCCAGTGTGATTGTGTCTGTGTTTTTTCCAATTTATGTGACCATTCATGCGTGTTTTTTTTCTAAGAACAAAACGTTATTTCGCAAATTAAACTTACGTCCCAGTTGTGTCTTCCCCATCACGGTTTCACTCCAAACGCCATCTTTAACGGTAAACGCAGACACTTGCACTCCATACATCGTGCCAGGTTTTAAATTAACTAGCTCAGTTCTTATTGTATCGTGGGTAATAGTTTTCACAGTCCAATTGGTAAAGGCTGCTTGCGCATGTTCCCTGTAGCGAACTTTGTAGCCTCGCAAAATCCCATGAAGAAACTGTTCGTCGACTGGTTTCCAAGCTACGTTAATCAAACCTGTGCCGTTTGACTGGACCGTTACGTTGTTTGGAGGGCAGCTTGGAGCTAGGAACGAAAATAATTATACTCCGGTGAATTAAGGAATGGGGCACTGCAAATTTGGAGGGGGGTGGTCTGTTTTAGTGGGGATTTTACCTTTCGCATTAATATTTTAAATCCAATATCTACTTCCCATAAGCATCCATTTTTCATTATTACTAATGTATTATCTGTGTCACGTGACTTGTCACACCCATTTTTCACTTTTTATTTCAATCCAAATTTACACCACTTTATAAATACCACTTGTAATTTAATTCACTTTTTGTCAATGATTATTGACACAAAGTTTATGGAATTAATCGGGGTTTTCTTAAATTATCTACGTTTTGTAAACTATAGCGTTTCTTGTTAAGAGGGAGACTGGGACGAGAGAAAAATATCTAATAATTACGAAGGAATAGCTCATTTCACAAATCCCCGATTAATTTAGCTTATTTGACTGTAAATGAAATATTATGGAAGGAAAAACGATTGTGGTCACATTCAGTAAACTGGTGTAATCTGCAAAGTCCAAATTTTGCATAATTATGGGCGTGGCTGGTCACGTGATCTAAAAAAGGACTGTTTAAGGTCCAAAGTGGTTCTGGACTTAAACACAGCGGTCTAAGATTAAAATAAAGGAAGATACTGGAAAAAACAAGATCAAGTCATAAAACCCCGCATGTAACGAGGACCCATTCCTTAATTCACCGGAGTAGGTTTATCGCTACCGTAATTATACATTTGATTTTGCTTAAATGTAGGATTTATCCAGTTAAGACCATTGTGTGCTAGTCACTGTGATTTGACTCTTTTAAGAGTCAAATATTTGCAAGAACAATCGATCCCATGATCTAACCCTGCGACGGTTAGGTATAGCTACATCGTGGATGACATCAGCACTGGTGACTGGCTTATCAGTGTTGCAAAAAGACAGTGTAGATAGAAGTTTTGTCTAAGGTACCAAATGTTGATAAAGAAGCTTAAATACTTGAGAGTATCTTTTTACTCATAATCGCGCACATTCCGGTTGTATACATTCACCTTCCCATTTAACAATACATGCATACGCCTTCTCGCTGCAGTGACGGATGCATGGGAGGGGCTCGGGGGGGCCGCCCCCCCCCCCGCCCCCGCTTATTTTTCAATCAAAATGAGGCCCGAAGGGCCGAAAAATTTTGGGGGGGAGACCGCCCCCCCTCCCCCCCTCCTCCCCCCTTATCTGAAGGTCTGGATCTGCCATTGCGCTGTACAATACAGTCGAAACTCCCGTAAGCGACAACCCAAAATGTAAATGATTCATTTGAGAGGAGAACCACCACAGGGTCTCCTACTTGGAGGTCGGATAATTTATTGCCATAAGCTTACTTTAAGTCCCTCTTGTGCTCTGAGTTGCGTAGTACCGTACCGTAAACATTGAGATCAGACTATACAAGCGTTAATCAAAACAATGGAATCCTGAAACTGTCTCCCTAAACGTGGTCGCGGACACTTGACCCTTTAGCTTCAGTATCCACATACAAATTCTCCAAACTGATCTCTATATATTTCCTTAAAAATTAGTTGACAGAATTTGATAAAAGATCAAAGCATTTTCTCTTTGCTGATCATTTTGTTAATTCTCATAACTTATATCTTGACAATGTATGGATATCGTTAGGAGAAAATTGTTGTTGGTCACTATTGGGACTTAAAAGGGTTAACGAAGGGTGGTCATTTTTTAGTGGTTTCAACGATCGTCTTAGTCTTGAAATGTCTTTGGTGTTTGGATAGATGGGAGGGGAGGTTCAGTGTTGTTTGTCACACATTAAGGTTTTGACTGTAGAAACCAAGGTGACATTGAGTTTACCATCTTCTCCTGTACTGAGATGGGTAAACTGAACCCCTCCTGCGCCTTTGCTTGTGTATCCAGACACCCCAACAAGGTATAGCGTAAACTTTTCTAGTCCCTGTAGTTCAACAGAAGTCGTAGAAGCGTTGGTCCATGTGAAATTTTGAGAAGAACCTAGAAGAAATGCCTGATATAGGACTTTGTATCCTAAAAGGATTCCATTTGCAAGGTCATCAGGTATCGGCCTCCATTGTATTGATATAGACGTGGAGCTTGTGTTAAATACTGATGTTATCGTAGGAGGCGCCCATGGAACTACAAATGAAAAATGAATGTAGCAATTGTTTACGTTGTCATCGATATTCTTCTTTAGTCTCTCCCGAATGATTTTTGTTAAAATTCCTTCATTTACGCCTTGTAAATTTAAAATCCTCTTTTGAATTTTATTTTCGTTAGCAATTATGTCACTGAATAAAATCGAAACTTGTTTTTTGTGACTTTCTTTAAGTTCTTTCTGAAACAGGCGATTTATTTAATGCTTCCCCACCCTATGTATGGATGTTGTCGGTCCTTCAGGGTCCAGTTGTTGGCCATGAAAAATCAGTAGCCATATGAGGACTGCATTGTCGTAAAAATAACTGAAGGCACAAAGCCTTCCTTTGAAACCACTGATAAGAGCAAGTTCAGAATCGGCTATGTTGCAAGCAGTGCTTTCGGTTACTTGCGACACACGATTTTCTGCCACCATGTCATTAAGGTTGGATCCAGAAAATTTAGAGAAAGTGGACAAGGAGACTTAACAGCTATATGTTTATGTATATTATTTATTTTTGATTTAATATCTGTATCAAAATCTGTGTCCAAAATTAGTTACTGGGGTTACTATGAAATTTTAACACAAGATCAGACAAAAATTGGAGGAGGGGCAGTCCCCTGGGAATGCCAACCGGTTAGCTGCGATCCTGGCATCATGATACAAGGATCCCGGCTAACTAGGTTGGCTCGGTTGTCATGTAGTCAAGTAGGTGACAAATCGAGTCAGTCCGGTTCGTGTAATTCTCTCCCCTAATCAACCGCGTTTTAACTGTATCACGCGCGCGTACGTGTTCTTACCATGCTCATCTGTAGAAACTCGTGTTTGACCTTTAATGTTGTCTTGCCCAATCAGCATGGCTTTCACTTCCACAACATAAACCGTAAAGGGCTCTAAAAAATCAATCGATAGACTGTGAACAGTCTTTGATGTGTTCATGACACTTGCAGACTCTTCGCCGTTCTTCTGGGCCCAGTACTTCACATTGTAGCCTTGAATGTCCAATGGGACTGGGTTCCAGTACACTTGTATTTTACTCCAAGATAAATTGTGGCCAGTAACATTCAGGTGATTTACTATTGAACAAAGTGCAGGATTCCACAGTTAAAGTTGTCAATTATAAAAGCAAGGAGAAAAACTAAGACTGGTTAAAACAGGGGATTGAATTGTTGTGTTGTGCCTTGAATACCGTGTTTAGTTTTAAGAGTGAAAAAGAGCTGAAAATGCAATGTGTAATGCTACAGAAACTTATTTCCTTTAACGGTTTCAATTTCACATGACGTAACGACGGCCATATTGGTGTTCCAAAACAATGTAACAGTGGCGATGTTTCCAAGCTAATCCCACGATAGTTGAACTCTTTTCGTTCTTAAACTTTTTCTTTTTTTTTTTTTCGTACAATAATGTGTAGATGCCGGCCAAGTGAGCGAAAACGTTCTATTTAACCGCCCAAGTTCTTTTTTTTTCTTCAGTCTACACTCATCAGATGTATTGTATCGTATATAGCCTCCCTTTCCGCAAAAACGCCCAGGCAGGGTGGGTTTCTGAGCTCACACCATTTACCTGCTGTTGTGACGTTGACAGGTTCACTCGGTACACCATCGCCATGAACGTTAAAAGCCAGGACTCGTATGGTGTACCATGTTCCTGGCAGTAGGTTCTGGATCACGGTAGTGTAGCTGGGACCATATTCTGTTAGAACATCATAGTTTACAGCACTGTCTGTTTTCTTGTATAAAACCTTGTATCCCTGAGAAGCACCTTGGAAGTCTTCCTCCCTAAGTCCAGTCCATGTTACATTTATTGACGAGTTATCGCGTGCATGCGCACTGATTACTTGAGGAGATTTGTTCGGCACTGTAACACATAACACCATGTTAATATATTTTTCTTTTAGAGTTTAAAGCTGCAGCCCAACAAACTGTTAACTTAAAGTAGCCGGTGAACAAACTTCCAGGAGGGGGAGGCTAAAGGACGCCCCTATCTCCCCTTTATCCTACCTGTCTGCACACTCTTTCAAGTGTTTTTTTTTTCTGTCCTTTACCCCATAAGGGATGCAAACTCAATCAATGTTTCGAATATGTTTAAGTCCATATAGATTCAACCCAAGTAATTTTTTGGTGATACCCTCCCTCCAGACTAATACGGCTTTGTTTTTGCAACCAGTGTAAAACAGGTGAGCTAAAAGAGGACTCGTTCCCAAGTCGTTACTTACAGGAATCTGGAAAGAAAAATTGACACACGCAAAGGCTCTCTGCTAAACCCTTCCCGTTAATCATAACGTAAACACAGAGAAGCAGCTGCGTACGAGTCTGCGGTAAAACTCTTCCTAAATTTGAATCTTAACCGACAGAGAGTGATGATTAATTTGGTTCGCTTGGTCTAAGAATGGAACCTTACAAGGCTGATACCCTTCACATTCACACAACTCCGTGATCCGATGGCCTGCTGCGTTTACAAGCTAAAATATAGGAAAATACATGGTGAAAGAAACAAAGACGCTTGTGTCGATATTGAAAAAAAGACAACAGATGGCTTTGAAAACGGATTAGAGTGGATGAGATCTTAGGTACGGGCCTCCTCTCGAGTACCCTGCGATCAGAGGCTACATTTTCGTGGTATGAGCTGGCGTGCGAAAAGTAGCTACTTTTCGCACGCCAGCTCATACCGCGAAAATGTAGCCTCTGCTCGCAGAGTACCTCTCGAGCCACTTTGTCAAGAGATGTGTTAGCATATTTTCATTCAGCGTGTAAAAATGTAAGACGTCTTTCACACAATACCGTTAACAAAGCTTGTTTCTAACGATTCCATGACCACATTTCCGAGCGATTTGTTGATTTTCAGTGCCTCCTCCAGCCGTAGAATGTCCTCATAGGATAGCTGGCTAAACGTCAGCTCTAGATTGACTACAACACTTCCGGCACTAAGGGAGGAACACAGGTCGTCTTATTTATTTACCAGTATTCATTCATGTACTTTGAATTAAGAATAATGGTCAAGGGGTGTCTTTCAGGCATTGCATAAACAGTGAAAAAGCCGATTGTCTTAATGGAGTGAAAAGAAATTGACTGCTGTTTTCTTTTTTTTGCGGCGGAGCCTATAGAAAATGGAAACCTATCGCTGCACGTCAGCGTACGAGCAGACTCTTAGGAAGGGGGAGGGGAGTTCTGGAGTAAGCCTGACGCAGACTGGGGAAGTATTTTCTTAGTGGAAATCTGGGCAACCTGGTGTCTAACTCAAGCGTTTATTGGCAGGAAAAATTGCATGAACGCTGTCGCGTTAGAAAAGCTTTCTTTCTTCATGAAGTGAAGCTTATTTACAGCTTATTTCAAAGTGAAATGAAAACCTAAAACTCTTCCATAAGAATTCGTCATGTAAGAATGCAGATATGGTACTAAACCTGAAGTTGTTGATGTTGACACCGGTGAAGTAATGATTTCTTTCAAAGAAGGTTGAAAACTGGAAGAAAGGAAACCAGGACTCAAATAAGATTCAAAACAACAAAAAAACAGTTTTGAGGTTCTTAGAACCCGCTTGTTCAACGTTTTCAGTATCTAAAAAGTATCCGTTTTCAGTCACACATTGTAGGATTTTGATCGTTTTAGTGCCTGGTTGAAGAATTCACAATTGAGACTCACATATGGGCTAATTCCTGTGCACGAAAGGGATTGCAAAAGAGGATGATCTATTAGCTTTTTTACCTGTTTACTCATATGGTCGACAAATCTGTGGTATATCTCACTCTCCAGATCTCGAAGTCTCTCCTGCCATGTTTCGTTGGTTAACCTCACTTTTAATTTCACTTTCTTAGGTGTTGCTGGATAGAATATTTAATAACAAGTGTTAATCATTAGTCTTCTTCAATCTTTACTGTCTGGCAAGCAAACAAACCTCCCGTTAAATCAGAAACATATAATTTTACAAAACAAAATCTTTTGAATCAACTTTCTGAGGCAATTACCACAACACTCTTTTAAGCGTCAGAGAGACTTCCCTTCAATTATTGAGCCTGGCGCCGGGCTGGGCCTTAACGTTATCGTATTTCTCCAGCCTAGTCCCTAGGCGTTCTCTTTGATCCGTTGTCTGCGCGAACTCTGAGAAAGAGCGGGCGAGCATCTCTCGGTGACGTCACAGCTAATGGTAGAGTCCAGGAATAACCGAGCCGAAAATGCCTTGAGACTAGGCTGGTATTTCTCAAAGTGGGCCGTTGTTTTAGCTTTTTATTACTGTTTTTTGATTGGTTCTGATTATGACAGCATTTTCGTATAAACCAGTCAGAGCAGAAGACAAAATTCGAATCCATTTCAGGATTTAAAAACAAATCGTCGTCCACAGGTACGCTTTTAAATTATTTTCGTTCGCAAGTACTTCTTTCTGTTTAAAAAAGGATATTTTTATCTGTATTGCCTCGAATTAGAATACACATGGCCGAGAGTGTTGTACCTAAACGGCAGATTCAGACCCAGAACCCTCGAGGTGTTGGTACTTTACCTCCGCGCTCAGTCTTATAACGCTTTGATTTTCAGAAACTAATACTTCTGTCTGGAGCCTTAGACATAGTAGTTGCTTCTCGTACTCAGGCGTTATCAAAGGGTGAATTTCAGTAGCAGGCAGCGCCAAGATGCAAGGTACGTTAGACGAAAGATTATGTACCTCTAGCAGTCTCCCAGAAAATTCCTTCCGCTTCACCATTAGATAACGCCCTGTGCCATATCGCCAGCTCATCTATACCAATTCTTCCCCTGTTAGTTCCTATAAATACTGCTTTTCTATCGACCAAAAGCTGCCTATTCGGTTTAGTGCAGTTGTTGTGAGGTTGCAATCTGTGTCCGTTAACAAACACTTTTATGTTTCCTGGATGGCTCCATACTATTACCGCGTGATACCACGCTTGGGTTGGAATAGCAAAGCTGCAAATAAGAAAGAAGGTATTCTGAGGTTCGAATCGCACCATGAGACTTCTGGGAAAAAAATTTTGGCCTCGTTTCCTGCACAACGGTGTAATAGAGCAAAGCAACCTCATCCCCAGGGTCTTCTCGTTATCCTACCGCCGCCATATTGGAAAACGAGAAGACCCTAGGACGAGGTTGGAAATAAAGCGTTTCTTTCACATGGCCATCAGCGATGCAAAAGAAAGTGAAACTTCTACTACCACTGGAATGGTTTAGAACACCAACATGGCCGCCGGTTCATTCAATTGTTTTGGAACACCAACATGGCGTACGTGATGTCATCTGAAAACGCTCTATTCACTATTGTCTCGTGGACCATAATGCACCTTGTTTACCCCCCAATTTTTGCATAACCATTGTTTCTAATTTCTCCTGGGTATCATAGTCGTACAAAGAGAAATCGAAGACAATGCTTATGCAAAATTTTGGAGTAAACAAGGTGCATTATGGTCTATGTGGAAAAGTTGAATAGCAGTGCCGGATCCAGACCTTGAGATAAGGAGTGGGGGGGGGGGGCGCCGGTCATCCAGACCCTTGGAAGGGGGGGGGGGAAGTCTCCAAAAAAATTGTTTTCGCCCCCTCGAGCCTCAGCTTGATCTAAAAATAAAGGGAGGGCCGGACCCCCCGGGCCCTTCTCCTGGATCCGCCACTGAATAGGCAAGAAAATAGGACCCACCAAAGAGAGTATGAATGGGGTGAACAGATAACTCACGACAAATGGTCACTCAAACACCTGAAAACTGAGAAAGCGCTGAAGATCTGACTAACAACTGACAGTTTGGTGACAAGGCATTTTAGCAAATAAAGCTGTGACAGTTTCCGGGTGTGGGCGGCCAGCACGCGCCCATGTTCGCATGGTTTTGTAGCATTTGTATTAGATACCTCCTTGATTTGATTACAAATTTGGCAAAAGAAAACGATCAGTTGTTGCTATGATGTCAGAAAAATTCGGGACAAGATGAAAAACAACGAGTATCTGTTTAAAGCCTGAAGTTCATGCCTAATTAAACCGTGGTAGTGATAACTTTCACACCAACAAATAACAAATAAATACAGCCTCGTCCCCAGGTTGATTCGCGCTACCTGAGTTAGCGGAGGAGATTTGGAACCGAGCGTGATAACGAATTCCCTTGACGAGCTTAAGTTACATCCGAGACTCGCCGAGGAGGCCTGTGAACGAGGTTGGCAGCAACAGACGTACCTGTAGGAACACCTGTGCGTTTTTGACGTCACAAATGCCTCAACCACACCTTGACGCCTATCTTGTATAACAGCTCGTACGCCGAATCCCTCGTGGTTATTATAGTGACTTCTGGATATAACTTTATTCAAGGCTGGTCGTAGAAAAAACGTAGAAGACATCGTGTGACCTGGATATTTAACCCATAAAGCCATTGTCAGCCCTTCGGTACAAACGGATGGTCGGTCAAAACAAAAAGGAGCTACGAGTTTGAAGCGATATCTTGCATACAGCTGGATGGCTTTATTTACGGGGCCATCGACAATAGATAGTAAATTTTTATTATCACTGTCATATGGGATAAAATGGCTATCACTTTTCAAATCTTCCTCTGTGTCAGCAAAGTACTGAACGCTTTCCTTGTAAATCGTGTCCACAAAAGCTGAAAAAGGAACAATAGGACCGGTTAGGGTTAGAGGTTTATGCAAAATTTTAGGGGGGGGGGTGAACATTGTGCATTAAGTTCTATGTGCAGGTGATAAATAAAACTTTTTCCCGCTGAAAGGTTTGAGCGGACCTATGATATCAAGTGGGTAAAACTGAACACCGCTCTCTGAGACTAACATTCAAAACTTTCTACACGTTAAAGTTTTTCTTCTTGGATTGTATAACATATCTGACTGGTCCCTCAAAAAACTGATTAATGTTTCAGTGTTTCCCTCTGGACCAGTCTTGAACCGTTTAATATCTTTATGTACCAAACGCCATTATCACGTGATTATACTCTGTCTTCACTGATCGGGCAACTACTCTGATCTTTCTGGGATTCAAATGGGCGAATTTTGCCCCTTCCGTGGAAAAACGCATGCTCAACTCAAATCTTATCAACCGGAGAAGAACCTCTCTTTCCTCTCGTCTCAGCAACAACAGAAAAAGAGGTGAACAATTTTTAGGCTATAATTAAGGTACTATTGGAACGTCAAATGACGTCATCACTCCGAACATTCGCCATTTTGGATCTACCATCTTAGGTGCGCCATTTTGTTTTTCAATCGACAATGTAAAATTGTACCAATATAACGGAGGTGGGGTATGGGAATCAAGAAAGAAGGGGGCGCACGAGGAAGATTCTTTGAGAACGATATCGTTTTAAAAGGCTGCCTTACCGTTTGTGCACCACTCAGTTACCAGTTTTAGGTCTCCACAGAAACATTTACCGGTGTCACGATCACAGAAGCCTGGTGCTTGGCACTGGGGCTGGCAGAAAGGCCCTGCACATGAAACAAAATGAGACTGGAGATATTTTGTTTGAATTGCAATGGATGAAAGCTGGTTCACTACTCCCACACCCACCACCCCAACTTCTCGATCGATAGTCTAGTGAAAAGTTGCTAAGACTACAGTATACAGATAGGAAACAATACAAAGTTTACTGATAATGAAAGTCCACTTTGACCAGCACCTTATAAGAAGGCTCGAAAGAGCATTCAGCCATATGCGCGCGCAACTTGCAATAGTCATTCAATCCCATGGACACTTGTTAGCTTGCTTTTTGTGCTTTGCCAAGATATTCACCTCTTATTTCTACAATCTCTGCATCATTAAGGACCCTCTCAAACAGCTTAACATCTCGAATGTAGCCTTGGATTCTCGAGTTTCCGACGCTTTTTCCAATGTAGAAATTTTGTGCAAATAACAAAAGATCATGAACCGTTTGTTGTATCTCTTTAGTATCATTCATGATTAAACTGGCGATGCGATCCTTCTCATTCCACGTTACGGCCACGTGTGTCCACGTCTTTGGTTCTAGAACAGAACTATAAAAATAGCATTTAGTGTTTAATTACAGGTTGTTACTACGCATATAATTCTTAAAATTACCTGATTGCAATTTGTGTTTCTAAGAATTAAGATCTAAGCTTTTCAAACTCATTAATAATTTATGAAGAAAATGCAAGGGAAATTAATGTTTAATGAGTGTTTGGAAATTAGATGAAAAACTGCTCATTTATGTATCCTTAATTTGTCCTTCTAAAAGCATTTTGTTTGAGGAGTAACATCAAGCATTCGACACAGTTTTTCATCACCAGATGAAACACCTCGAAGTTCGTAAAAAATACTCTGCTGCACGTCATATTTTCAACTCCCTTCTCGGTGTTTCATCTGGCGATGAAACACTGGGGGTAAGGAGTTGGACCTCAGACCGAGCCTCCCCAAATAAAGCTTTGTTGAGTATCCCCCCCCCCCCGGGGGTTGAAGGGAATGAGACCTACCTTGACGTTAGGTTAGCTACCAACAGGCCCTCTCTATTTCTCATCCGTACTACAATTCTTTCACTTGCTAAGTTGATCTCAAGCTGGTCATGTGACGTTAAGATACTCCCTTCATGGTCAGGTGAGCTTGTCAATACCCACAATGCCACTGAAAAGCTGACGTTGCTAAGGTCTGGGATTGAAAGATCAAGTGATGACGTAAGACCATCCAGATAAGCAGCATGCCAGCCTTCATGTACCTCAAATGTTGTATTTCCCTCAAGACTGAATTTTAAAAGTCACATCTAATTAACAAATAATAAACCAGCAACTGAAAAAAAAGAGTTTAAGTTTACTACGAATTCTCTAAACCTTGACAAAATACGT